ACCCTCCAAAAATCACTCTTTAACACAACTTGTTACCATAGCTATTGACCCTTTGTAGTTTTGTTTGTACATTTTAGATAATTTTTGGGTTTTGAATTCAGAAGTATATTTGATAAAACTATTTTAAAATTTTAAAAGAGCTATTTAAAATTACTGATCACTGATGAGGCTTGCTTTATAGATGAACAATGTTTTTATTCTTTTAAGGAAAAGAAAAACAAATTTAATGTTTTTGGTCTGTAAATTCATTTTGGCTACATAATGAGAATTCCGCTTATGAATCCCAGAAGGCTTGGGATTTGGAGTCAAACTGTCTTAGGCTTGTATCCTTGCTCTGCCGCTTACTGGTTGTTACTTTGAACAGTACGTTTAACTTCTCTGAGCCTCAGTTCTCCCAGCCATAAAATAAAGGGGTTGATTATTTCCAGGTCTTGGCCTTTTATGATTCTATAAATGTATATATGATTTTATCTATCTAATTATATAACTTTTTATGACTTCACTCTCTGATAATTATGAATTATCAAGAGTTGACTATAAATAGTCTAAAAATCTAACTTACATATTGAGAAAAAATTGTTTATTCCTTTGTAAATTAAAAGATTATCATGTTTCTTTGACCTTAAACTCTTATTAACAGTTGCTTTAGTCTTTAGCCATGGTGTGTATATAAATGACACCACTAAAGTGTACTTGATTTAGTTATCTAAATTTATGATTAACTATTAATTTTAGTCATGTACTACTTTCCCTCAGTGGACTCCTAGGTTCAGTTTATATGTTCCCCAGGAATGTGGAGAAATGTTAATGTTAGAGTAAACTAAGCATAAATGTCCTGTATCTGTCCAAATGTACCTAGGTAATCTCTTTACTTCAGTTCAATGTTTATTTTTATCAGTAGATAGCTTTGAGAAGGACATTTAAATCATTTTGATTATTAATTGCAGGCTACAATATTATTCAGCACTATTCGTTCTCAATGGATTTTTAAAATAATAACAGTTTTATTAGATATAATTTACATAACAAATGCACTAATGTGAAATGTACGGTTCAGTGGTTTTCAGTATATTCGGAATTACGCTTCTGTGACCATCAGTGGGCTTTTAAAACAATATCTTCACCAAGAGCCATCAAAAGTAAGAAGAGATAATAATAGCATTTAAAAGATGTGGAAAAAGTCCAGAGTGAAATGACATATGAAGATTAATTGATTTAATCTGGACCAAACCAAGAAATTGTATCAGAACTAGAACCAAAATTTTTTTAAACTTTGAGTCATATTTCTTGGCTTAGATTACCTATATGGCACGTCACTCATAATGATGGTATTCATGTCTGTATCAGCAGTGATTGAGCATATAATTTATCCAACTTGAAGGAATTGAAAAGAAATCAACATTACTTAGAGATGTGCATACCATTTGATACCACAAAAGAGAACAGCCTCCCAGCCGGCCCTCAAATTCCACCCTTGCCTCTGCAGTCCCTGCCTCAGGGACCTCTCTGAAGCATTAGTGAATTGATGTCCTTTGCTTGAAACATCCAGTGGCTTCCGGATCATCTCACTTGGAGTGAAAGACAGAGTCCTTCTAATGATCTGCAAAGCCTCCTGGTCCCCTTTCACCTTGAGGTCCAGGTCTACTCATTCCCCTGCTGGGCTCTGCTGCAGCCTCACTGGCCACCTTGCTGTCGTTCAGATAAGCCAGGCATACCCTGCCGCAGGCCTTTAATATGCTGCTTCCTCTTTCCGGAAGGCTTTTCTCCACGGTAGTCACTTCCTTCCTTCCTTCCTTCCCTAGGCCTTTCCTTAAAAGGTCCCCTCAGACTAAGGCTTTCTCATGCCACCTGCATTGGTTGCTCCTGCACATCCGTTCTCTGCCCTGCTTTGTGCACTGCAGCCTGCAGTCCTAGGGCTTCCTTGACCTCGGACTTCTGATTGAATTCAGTAAGTGGGAGGCCCTGTCAGGAGACTGGTGGAGGGGATGGGAGGAGAAGGGGGTCGGGTTTATCTCTACTTGCTCCAGCTGGGCTGTGGTTTTAACAGTGCTGCTGGGCTCCTCTCCCCGGCTAATGGCCCTATTCTACAACTACAGCTCTTGCCGGGCTTGGGAACACTATCCTCTCCCCTTGCCCCCTGCCCCAGGGTACTGTGTCCTGCATGCCACTATCTGCTAGTTCACTGAACCCTCCCCGCCTTTGTGAGCAGTCTCTGTTTAAACTTCTCAGTTAGCCTGTGAGCATGCCAGCTCTTCCCTGCCAGGGCCCTGTCTGATGCCTCACCCTCTCTAAAGTTGCAGTTCCCCTCAACACTTGCCATCCCTCTTCCCTGCTTTATTTCTCTCCAAGTCTTCCATACTGTATGTGTGTGTGTGGCGATTGCCTCCCCCACTGGGATATGAACTCCACCAGGGCAGGGACTTTTGTCCGTCTGTTTGCTAATTGTCGTCAGCACCTGAACGATACTTGGCACATGATGGGGGTGTGTATAATGAATGAGTGACATGAACGACCTGCTTATCTAGCTTAAATTTATAACTTATTTATCTCTGGCTCAGAAAAAAATAGGTAGCAAATTTGTTCTGTCAAGTTAGCAAATTTAAAGATTGTGTAAGTCAATGAGACCCGTTAGAGAACAATAGGGAAGAAACAATCAGAATTGTGGAATGTTTTGCATTCTTTTGTGGATAGTGGTCCCACAGTTAATGCCATTGATTTTTATATCCTACTTCTCTCCTGGATTCAGTTTTTTCTAACTGAAGCAGTTCTTTGAGTAATTCTATCCTTGAGGATCTGTGAGTAGTAAATGTTTGCCTTATCTAAATCTTTATCTCACCCTCACTGGGTTATAGTTGTCTTCCATTAGCATTTCGAATATGTGATTCCAGCTTTTTCTGATATTCTGATACTCTCATAGGCAGTCTCTTTTTTACCCCCCTCTTGTTGCTGCAGAGATTTTCACCTTGTCTTTGGTATTCCGTGGTTTTATTCTGCTTCTAGGTTTGGATTTTGTCGTTCTTTTAATATATCTTGCTTGAGGCTCTGCTCTTCTTTAAGGACTCATCCATTCATTGTCTTTATTTAGTCTAGAAAAGTTCTCAGCCTTTCTCTCTTCAAGTTTTACTTGATTCTTTTTATTCTCTTCTGCCAGTATTCCTAATAGACATGTTGAACCTTCTCATTCTATCCGTGACCTCTTAGTTTCTCATTGCATTTCTGTTTTTCTGTGTTGCCTTCTGAGTCTTTTCTCAAATCTGTTTTCTAGTTTTAGCTTCTTTGTCAGTTTGGTCAATTTTTGTTTACTCCTTTTTCTTTCTAATTCTAATGTTAATGACTATTTTATAATTCTAGAAATTAATAGTGGTGGTTTCTTAATTTGTTGTTTTTCCCATAGCGACATGTCCTTTCATATTACATGTATTTCTAATTTTATCTCTAAAAATTTCAGCCATACCAATTTAAATCCCTTTTCAGAACATTCTTATATCTCAAGTTGCTGTGGAGCTAATTCTTTTGTTTTGTCTGCTAAATGTCTCTGACAGTGGATTATAACTTTACTGAGAGCTCTTCAGTGGAACTTGTGTTTTTATCTGCTTCCTGGGCTGTGGAGGTGTCCTTACAGAGTAGTTTTGTGTTTGTTCCTGTTGAGGCTGTAAAGGTTTCTCTGCTTCTAGGCTAATAGTTTTAAATCTGGATTTCATATCTAGGTATGTCACAAGCTAGAGATATTTAGTTCTCATATTTCCCACCCAGAGCAATAGGCAGAAAGTGCCTTCCTTACTGCCTCCCTGAGCCCAAGGGCAGTTTCTCCCCTCCCACTTTCCCTGGGGGTCTGGCCCAGTACAAGGCCTTACCCCCTTGACTTGGGAGGCCAGAGCCACACATCCTCCCCTCACGTGGCTGTACCCCCTCCCCTCCTCACCCTCTGGGTTTGTGTTCTACCTGGCCTCCAGCTCTACCCTTGACCTTACCCACCCGGCATCACTGGCATGTGCCTGTTGTATCAGTTTTCATTTTTCTTTTGGTTTCTAGCACAGCTGGGGGTTTTATTCTTTCAAACTCTTGCTGTATGTTATTTTATTCTGTATCTTTATGGGTTGGAGGGATGGTTCCATCAATTTAGTTTGCCAGGTACCACAAATATCCCATGTTCTTCCTAATCGAAAACATATCAATACTCCACCAATTGTATTATCTAGCAAAATAGTTGGCTATTGTAATGGCAAACACATATAGCTTTTTTTGTGTGCATTGGTCTGTGCACTTTATATATATAGACAGTTCCTAACTTATGGAGGTTCAACTTAGTATTTTTCAACTTTGCGATGGTGCAAAAGTGATACTTTCAGTTTATGATGGATTCGTTGGGACATAACTCCATCATAAGCTGAGCATCTGTGTTAACTTAATTGTGCCTTACAACAGCTCTATGCAGTACGTAAGTGTTATGTCCATTTTATGTAACTTGCCTAGGGTCACACAGCTAGTAAAAACCAGTGTCAGCGTTTGGCCCTATTTGAACCAATGAAGAGTCTGGAATGAATCAAGAATTCTACGTTTACCCCTGACATTCAATATATGAACTGGAGAAGTTTGCAGATTCATAACTGGATCTACAGTGTGAGGTAGAATTTGTTGAGGACAATCACATTCACTTGGCTGCAGTAGTTGAGGTGTTGTTCAAATCTTCATTGTCTTGTATTCAGAAGTTCAAGGGTAGGGTGGGATTGATGTAGGGCAGAGGTTTCCGACCCATAACAAGGAAATCCCCGTTTTTTTTCCCTGTCATTTTTTTCTTCTCTTTTCTTGTCCTTTTCTTGTCCTCGGTTCTTTCTGTTGTCTTCATCTCAAAAAATGCATCATCAGTTCACACAGTTACCCAAGACCAAGCCTTGCAGTCATTTTAACTCCTCTCTCCGTGCACGTATTTTGTCGGTCAGTTCTTTCTCTTACGGATCTCTGTGCCTTGTTCCCCTTCCTGCGTCCCCCTGTTGTAGGCTTCCTTTATGTCCTCCATTGGCCTCCGTGGAATATTGCACAGCATGGTTGGAGGGACGCCTCTGAAACACAAGTCAGATCTTGCCACAGCCTTGCCAGAAGTGTTCATTGCCTTAGGGTTTAACCTAAACTCTGAGTTGACTGCCTTTATGACCTGTGTCTACTCAGTTTTGCTGCCTCATCTCTGGCCTCTTCCTGCCTCTATTCTCTGTTAAGCGGCAGTGAACTTTTCTCGTCCTTTAGAGTCTTAGCATATGTTGTTCCTGAAGTGTGAAACAGTAACTTTTCCTCATCTTTTACAGGTAGGTTCCAGAAACTTCTCCTTGACTTCTCTAAGACTAGCCTAAGGATTCTTAACTAAATGTTTCCAAATCACCCCGCACGTTCTGTGTCATAGCACCAGCTACTCATTGATGTAGCTCCTCTTCCTGTCTCTCCCTCTGGGCAGGCTCAGCATCCTCCGGTGTTAGAAGGGACAGGAAGAGCATGCAAAGGGATTGGCCACAGCACATGCTCCTCCTCAGGCCTGTTGTGCAGGGCACTGGAGAGGGAGCGTCTGTCCTAGGTCAGAGCTTGCTTTCAGGCAGCAAGGGTGGGGAGTCCAGTAGGTGAGACAATATGGCTATAGAGCTAAGTGATTTATTGCTCATTTTTACTTCTGCCAAAGTCTGTAGAAGACAGGCAGGTGTCATGCCCTGAAGTTCTCTCAAGCATGCAGACTAAGCTAACTTTTTAATACAGCTTCAAATTCTTCATCTTATCCTTCATGGCACAAACCTTCCCAGGACTCCTCTCCTGACCTTCCTACAGATGGTGCTCCCTAGATAATGTGTGGCTCTACCCTAATTACTGTTTACTTCATGTGTCTGTTTTTCTCATAAGGTTATTACCATAAGTGAGGAGCCCATTGGACAATTCAAACGAAGAGTGGTGCAAACCCTTTGATGGAGATTTTACTCAATTTGATTAAAATTAATTTTCCTTATTGCTTCACTTCACTCTCATTTGCAAAACAAAAAACATCTTCCATAGTTCTGCTGGCTGCTTTCCTGTTTTGCTTGACCCCAGAAGGTCTCCTTGATTGGTATTCTCTTTTCTAAATTTTTTAACCATATTCATTTTATTTTTTCCAACTGACCATGTGCTTCCCGCTCCTCCTCTTCTAACGTCTCCCTCTGGGCCAGGTGCAGTGGCTCAATCCTATAATCCTACAACTTTGGGAGGCTGAGGTGGAAGGATCACTCGAGGCCAGGAGTTCAAGACCAGCCTGGGCAACATAATGAGGCCCTGTCTCAACAAAAAATTTAAAAAATTAGCCAGGTGTGGTGGTGTGTGCCTGTAGTCCCAGCTACTTGAGAGGCTGAGGCAGGAGGGTCCAAGCCCAGGAGCTCAGGCTGCAGTGAGCTGTGATTGCACCGCCACATTCTAGTCTGGGCGACAGAGCCAGACCCATCTCTAAAAAAAATAAAAAAAAATAAAGTCTCCCTGTGGTTAGTACTATTCATTCAATAGTAATTGTTTTGTTTTCTATTTTTCTTGCTAGAGAGCAAGTTGTGTAAAGAAGAAGACAGTTTGACTCTTATTTACCCCCTCTTTCCAGCACCTGACACAGTGCCTGCCATGTGTTTGCCACTCCATGAATGGCAGATGAAATCTTCTCACCTGGCTAGACTTCTCATTGATCAGAATTCCAAAACTATCTTCCTCTCAGGACTAGTATTTTCAGTACTACTCGGCAACAGTAATTATAGATATTTTAGATATGTTTATTTTATTGGGTTTCTATTTAGCAATAAAAATATTACTTGTTCTTTAAAATCCAGCTCAAATCCCACCTCTTTCATCAAACTTCACTTGATTACTCTAGTCCATAGTGATAACTCTCAGAGTTCTCTGGATATTTAATATTTTTTAAAATGTGCGTAACTAATTTGCTATTTATGCCTTATTCCTGGTATTATCTTTCTATTCTTATTTAACTCATGCTTAATACTTAACACTTTGACTATATAATTTATATCCTCCAGTGCAAGAAATGTAAATTACACAGGTACAGAGATAGAATAGTCAGAGGTATTTGTTTGCCGGATGATTGGATTCAAGCTAGTCATTTTAATTCAAACAAAAAATAGATAAAATCATAGTTTTATATCTTATATTGTATCACCTACAAAACAGAAATTGCATTTCATTTATTTCCCATTTAACTTCATCACTAGACTTCTTAGCTATTTATTTTCTCTCCTGTTTGTGTTTAACTGAAAAAAAAATATTTAAGGTATTGATTTGGCTTCTGTTGGAGTCTAGGAGAGAGGTCACGTCCCACAGTGATATTTAAGGAAGGGTTCTTGGGGGAGGATGCATTTGAAGTAGGCCTTGAAAGAAAATAAATTTTTTTGTCAAGTGGGGAAATGTCTGACTATGAATAATTGTTATTTCCAGTATTCAGGGAAGAGGGCACATCTTGAACAAAGATTTGGAAGCAATAAAGCAGAAGACTTGCTCTACGTAAAAAATTATTTCCAGGAAAACAGTCTAGCTGAAACTGATTTAGTTTATGGAGCATCTGAAATGATAGGCTAGGGAGCATGGACTTCTTTTACATTAGAACAGTGGAAGGATTAGTTTGTTAGCATATAAAGGAACAAGTACTTTTCTCACTACTTTAAAACTTACCCAATTAAAAATTATACAGTGTAATCATGAAAAACAACAGATTGTGAGCTTTTTATACATGTTTCTAAAGTTAAGCTTTTCCAATATGATCTGCTAGCAGCTTTCTTAACTTCAAAAATATTTTTAGTACAAAAAATAACTTTTTCTTCAAAATCAACAGCATCAGATTCTTATAGTAGGCCAAATAAGGTAGCCTAGTGGCCTTTTTGCATTGATTCATCATAACTTAGTCTCCAAATATTAACTGGCTAAAACATATTTGCAGTGATTCCCAGTTGGTCACTTTTCTAGAAGCTTAGCAGTTTTCTTTTTATGTAACAATATGTAAACATCATTATATAAGAAGCATGCCAGTGTAGATTGAATGGCCCCTGATATTTCACTGCAGTGTACCATATGCCAGGGTTCACCAATTCTTAAACCGTGCAACTATGCAATTTATTTCAAAATCTTGTTTTAATACTAGACTGTCAGAGAAATTGGGTAACTTCTGGCTCTGTTTTGGGCAAAAGAATTTGACACACTGTCAATAGTGGATTCTTATAAAAACTTGTCTTTATGTTTCTTGGAATATCTTTTGAAAGCTTGCACAATCAGTTTTGTTTAAACACTTGTAAGTGTTCCTAAAAATGCATTGGGACAATTAAAGTTTGCTTTATGTTTATCAACGAGTATCTAAAATATGAAATATCTAAAATAGACAAAATTGGGGATGATAAGCATGTGATGGTATTTAATAAAAGAAATGTATCTGTGAATAATTACGCTTCCATCTTCCTATCATGTTTGCCATGAGAGTGGAAAATTACTAGATTACCCAGAAAATATGTGGAAGACAGAGGCCGTCTGTGTTTTCTTGTACTTCTCTTTGCAGTACACAGTCCGCAGTTCCGTGTGAGACATCTGTTGAGGTCCTATTTAAGTCGTATGGCACCAGCATATGGCACTCTCTTTTGCTATTTAGCAACTAAGTAGAGAATAAATCTTCACATCTATCAAAGATCCAAAATGGAAAATAAAGAATGTAAAGTCAAATTTATTTTAGAATGTAGTAGTTTTTAATTATTTGGGTTTATTAAGAATAGCTAACAGCAGGAAACTATATTCCATAAAATGAAAAATGTGATGAAATATCATTTGGTCTTCATGTCCTGATACAATGAAAGGTTGTTCATACCTTTCTTCATTCACTCTTTTTCCTTTTGTTGCTCCCTTTTGCCTTATGAGTTTTGAGAAATAATTTTTGCAAGAAAAGGGCTTTTCTTAGCTTAAATAAATCACATTAATGTAGAAAATTTGAAAAAAAGAATAAAGATTAATATTCATAATTTCATCACCTAGAAATAATGACTATAAATAATTTGGTATATGTTCCTGGTAGATTTGTTTTGATATCTTGGGTGATATTGAAAAACATGATCTTATGCTTTATTTTCGTCTCATACTATCACTCTATTTCCCATTTGAAAATTTTGCATCTTGATGGGACCCAGTGTTCTATGGCCTAATATTTGCAAATTGCTGGCATTTGGATTTACTTGATCGCTTTTGCTTATTGACCTTGTTTACCGTGTTTTAAGGACATTGTTTTAAGTCAAGATTATGTGAAATACAAAGGATGCTACAAATTTGTTCTTTGAGTTACTTTTTGATGTAAAGATTTCTTAAATGTTAAGATTTTTATTTGATGAAAGGGACGGATTTGATTTAATTTAACTGTAATTAACAAAGTCAGGAATTATTTCAGCAAAGTACATTTCTCTTGAATTAATCTGGACATGACATTTTATTTGTTTTTAAGTGATATTTGTGCATTTTGTAGCTTTCACTTGTCAATATTTTTAATTTGTAAGTGGGTTGAGATTTTCTTTGGGGGACTGGAGAAGACACTGGTATTATTGTTTGTTCTCAACTTAAACATATACCAAAAAGTACTGGACCTCCATAGGAACACATTTTTTTTTTTTTTTTTGAGACAGAGTCTCACTCTGTTGCTAGAGTGAGTGCCGTGGCGTCAGCCTAGCTCACAGCAACCTCAAACTCCTGGGCTCAAGTGATCCTACTGCCCCAGCCTCCCGAGTAGCTGGGACTACAGGCATGCGCCACCATGCCTGGCTAATTTTTTCTATATATTTTTAGTTGGCCGATTAATTTCTTTCTAATTTTAGTAGAGGCGGGATCTCGCTTTTGCTCAGGCTGGTTTCGAACTCCTGAGCTCAAACAATCTGCCCGCCTTGGGCTCCCAGAGAGCTAGGATTATAGGCGTGAGCCACCACGCCCGGCCAGGAACACATTTTTAAGAGTAAAAAACGTTACGCCAAATGTTTGTCCAAATACGAACTAAAGGAAGTTGAGTTGATGCTGCCTTCAGATTCGTTATCCACAATGTCAGCTACAGAATTACTTTTGTCTCTTTTTAGCATTTTGCCTTTTAATAAAATTATTATTATTTATTTATTTGTTTCGAGACGGAGTTTCACTCTGTCACCTGGGCTAGGCTAGCGTGCTGCGGCATTAGCCTAGCTCATAGCAACTTCCAATTCCTGGGCTCAGGTGATCCTCCTGCCTCAGCCTTCCCAGTAGATATAGGCACACACCATGAAGCCTGGCTAATTTTTCTATTTTTAGTAGAGATGGTGTCTCACTCTTGCTCAGGTTGGTCTCGAACTCCTGACCTCAAGCGATCCTCCCCACCTCAGCCTCCCAGAGTGCTAGGATTACAGGTGTGAGCCACCTCTCCTGGCCTAAATAAAATTATTTATCCAGAATAGAATATTATGAAAGGAAATGTTAATGTCTTATAAGTAGTGCTGTCCATCCTTCTCGTCAGCTACTTTTCTTAAATGTTACATTATTATTTAAGTCCTATAAACTTTCTTTTAGATCTTGGCTCTTCTCCTTGTAGGATATAGGCAATTCTAGGAAAAGGCTTCATCCTTTCTTTTTCCATACTAATTTATGTGCCCTGAACACACAGCTGGTGCTTAATAATGACGCCCAAGACACACTATATGTTGCTTAAGGCAGCTAGAAGGAAACATGAGGTTAGTAGATACAAAAATACTTCTGTGGTCTTAGTTTACTTTAAGATTACTTAAAATCCCACTCATTGTTTTTATTTTTTTATTTGTAGAAATGCTTCCATCATTTCTTCAGAAAGTCGAAGTAGTGTCTGAAGCTTCTAGAGAAACTTGTACAGCTTTGAGTGATTGTCTTAATCTCTTCACTAAACAAGAAGGGGTAGGTAGTTTGGAATTGAATTTTTAAAATAATTGTTTGGGTGTCATGTGCTTGATCATCCATTAAGTCATTGCTCGCAAATTGTTCAAAAGTAGAAAAATATAATAACAAAAGAAATGAAAGCTTTAATTTTCCACCAAATTTTATAACTAACTTAATTAAGCAGAATGATTCTGAAATAACTTGTGTTCATATCTTCAGAATTTATTGATGTAGCTGTATTTAACAAATATATTTAAAGTTGATCTACTCAGGGTTGTTGGGATATTTCAATAAGAGGGATGTGAAAATATTTTAGAAGCAGAAGGCCTTTATAAGAAAAATACATAATATTTCTAGACAATAGAGTGCTATTATACTTACCTATGTAAACTGAGCTCAGTGGATTAGTTTTTGTGCTCTTTTCTCCTTTCTTCCCCTTCAACAATTTGCCATTTGCTTTTCCAAATATGAGTAAGAGCAGTATGCTCACCCATTAATAATTCTTTTTCTAAGGACTGAAAAGTTGTAAAGACTTTTGGATGATCATATTGTGGTTGCCTGATTTTTCTTGTTTTATGTTTTTCTTTTTTCCCATTTTCATGATTTTAATGTAAGCCAAGTGCCAATAGGCTTTCTTTTCCATTTTGTTAATTTCTACATGTATGTTTAATCTTCAGCTTTTTAGATTAAGATACCAAATTTCTTGTTACAATTTATTTGTACCTTTGGTTAGAGATTAGGTTTTGGTAAAACAAGATAGATGAAAATGGTTTTATATGTGTTTCTCTAATATGTAAAGATCTAAAATTTTATTTTCCCATGATTAGAATGTAAGCATTGTGAATTTTATATACAGTGTTTTAAATGCTATGTTTACTATATGTACCACAAATTCTATATATTAATTTACTTGAAGAATAAGAAAACATGGAAATAATATTGTGAATTAATTTAAAGCAAACTTATAGAAAGTCAACAGAATTCTATTAACTATCACAGGAAAACATAATTGTTCATTAAACACTTTAAATGGTTGATTCTTCTAATACTTTTTGAAGATATCCCTTTTCAGCATTTCTATTTTTGGTGGCTTGCAGATTTCATATGCTAGTTTATTTAAATGAGGAATGATTTAGTGTTCTAAATAAATCTGAATAGAATGGTTGCATTGCAGAACATCTTTGTAATTAACAGTGATGTCATGGGATTCATGTAGCATTTGTTTTAGTACATTGTAAAATCAAATTTCACTCAGATCTTTTATGTGGTACCTGATGGGTATATTGATAGCTTTTTTTGTTCTAGAGATGTAAGGATGAACACTAGATTAAAAGTGATGTGTTATGTTGATGTTATGTTTAATTTCTGGAGAAGTCAGTCAACCTGTTGTAATTTTTAAACTATCTGCTTAAAAAAAATAGCCTAAACCTTTCTCTTTGTGCAAATGTAAATGTGCAAGAATATTTGTCTAAAGTTTAGACTAACTAACCTCTTTTAGCCTTGCAAATTTGTCATGAGGACTAAATGAGCTAATGTAAGCAAAATGTTTAGCATAGTGCCTGACATGTAGTAAGCCCTCTGAATAAAAGTCAACAGTTACTATGGTAGGATCTTATATAATTAACACTTGTAATCCCTCTTCTCAGGTGGAATCTTGGAGCTTTTGTGTCTTTAACATTGGATTTATCTTGTTTTAGGGGAAGTTAGTATTGTCTAAAGAAAATTTATTTGACTACTCTTTTGGAAGGATTTTGTTGTGTTTCCATCCTTATTTAAATGACGATGAGCTACTTCTCTGAACTTTGATGGCTTCATCTTTCAAATAAGGGAGACTCTATAGAAAGTTGTTACAAGTATTATTCTGAAAGTCTGATGGACCTGTTTTAAACCTTTCTCTAACCAACTGTGGGACAAGTTTCTGTAAAATGAAAATATATAAACACCTCAGAGTTGGGTGTGGGGAATCAGCTATATGTAGATGAATAATATGTATATGGAGTGTATTAGCATACTGCATGGAACACAGTATTCATTTAGTAACTGGCATTTAATGTTCAGACTTTTAGAGTATCTTTAAGATACCTTTTCAGTAATTTGGTGAAGTATCAAGTCTGTGAGAGCCTTAGTGGAATCCATGAATTTCCTTCTTAGAAATGAGATTGCAGATAGTAACAAGGCCCCAAAATTTTTGAAAGATAAGTGGCACCCTTAAAGTTTGTCTTTCAAATGCTCAAGAATTACAACATAGGAATTAATAGCTTAATTGGGGTCAGAGTGACATAATTATACCTTATCTGGCATTATTTCTCTTATCTGGAAGTTTTATTAAAAGAGCAGTCACAATAAGCTTTGAACTCACTTAGACCTTGGTCTAACTCCTGGCTCTGCTATTTAATCTCTCTTTGACTGTTTTTATTCTAATCTTTTTTGATGGCAGTTATTCCAAACGTTACATGTTTAGTTCTTAACCTAAAGTTTTTAAACTTAATTTTATGTTGTCTAGGTGTCTCAGGATTGTACTTTCGCATGTTAAGAATTACTCTGTGCCTTAATACAGAGATGCCCTCAAGAGATAATGTTTATATGACCATGTATTTTTCTAGTAAATGGCCTGGTTCTGCTAATGCTTTTTGAATTCTTGTTTACTCCTTGTAGATTTTTAAAAATTACAGCCAGGCATGGTGACGCACACCTGTAATCCTAGCACTTTGGGAGGCCAAAGTGGGAGGATTGCTTGAGCCCAGAAGTTCAAGGCTATAGTGCACTGTGATTGCACCACTGCATTCCAGCCTAGGCAACAGAGCAAGACCCTGGCGGGAAAAAAAATTACCATGCTTGATTTTTAGATCAACTGAGTGCCTGCCTCTAGCAGTGGAATACTGATCCCTTCTGATTTACTCTTTCTAATCTCTTGTTTGTTAAAAAGAAAATCACAAAACCAAACTCAGTAAAATGTCCACAGTAAGAATGAACTGGCTCTGTATGAGAAACTTGAGAGCGGAGAGGGGAGGATTTACATTGAGTGCCAGCCTTTGTTCCTGGATTTTGTGGCTTCTGTTTCTGTGGTATCTGGGTGTTTTTTGCTTGATGGAGATACACTGATCTGACCTACATAATCAAGGTTTTCATATGATCTGTAAACAAATGAGGCATTTATCATAGGCAGATTTTATTTGTAAATCTGCTTGCATTGTTGAAAAAATCTCAATGTATAAAATGGGCTGTAAATTTTGTGGTTGATCTACTAAAGAGAAACCTACAAGATGCTTTGAGGGTGGTGTAGTTGGAAATATAACAGAATATTAGTGCTGTGTCTTTTCTTACTCTTGATTGAGAGTTCCATTCAAAAGGTTAGCAACTGGTTTCCTGAATTATTTTTGTTTCTGTAGTTTTTCTCACCAGAGAGTGATCTCAGAAGTGGTTAAAATATCACATAGAAGCCAGCATTGGTGCCCTCCTTGGTCTGTGTATCATCGAGCTCCCTTGATGTTAGTCAAACCAGTTTTTCCAAATTAGGAACTTGCCTATTTAAAGTTAGTGTAATTTCACTTATAAAATATTTTATCCTTTCATGTTAAATCTCCTGACCACTGAAGAGCCATGACCCAGCTGTATGATTGGAATGATAGTGGTACTAGTTTTGTGGGGTAATGGAAAGATTCGGACTCCACATTGGAATCGTCTGAAAGGTTAGAATTCTGTACTGCTTCTCTGGACCAGATGCTGATACTTTGAAGAGAAATCTTATGTGTTCGTGTGTGGACTTATAACTCTACAAAGTCATGGTCTCTTATAGTCATTTAGCTTCCTGTGCTATCCAGCAGTCCTTTAGTCATTTTGTGATCTCATCTCTTTCTTTTCCTAATGTTTACAATAGCTCTTTTGGGCCTTCAGCCCTCTCTGACTCTCTCATCTGTGTAGTTTCCTCATCTCTTTCTACTCTAAGCAAAATTCTTTGTTAAACATAATGTAGTCATTGTCTATGCCTCAACTCCATACCACTCCTTCACTCCAATTTTTATCTGCATCTGCTCCCATCCTTTCTTCTTTCCTTTTGCTGCAGGCATCTGTCTCCTTCCATCCTGCTTCTCTGGGGACCTCGCTTCAGAAAATAGCTCCTCTCTTTGGAATTCTCTACTCCCTTATTTATAGCTTTTATCTATCTCCCTGTATCCTTCTCCAATTCTATTCTTGAAAATGTGATATTTTCTGTTTCTACTTATTCATTCCCCAACTAGTCCACTGAAACTATTCTTGCCAATATGTCCTTATTGCTAAATCAGAGGACATTTTAAAATTGTCTTGCTTGTCCTTTGAAGGACATGGCATTTGACAATTTCCTGTTTTTTGGAATTCTCTGTGGCCTCCACAGTGCCTCCCTCTTCTGGCTTCTCCTTTTATAGCAGCTGATTCTCAATCACCTTCTAAAGCATCTTCTGCCTGTGCCTTAAATATTAGTATTCCCTAGGTTTCTGTGGGTGGCCTTCTCACTCTCAGCATTCTCCCTGAGTGATCTCACCTACTCCTTTAACTAGAATTCCATGGTGACTCAGATATCTCCACCTTAGACCTCTCCTGAGCTATGAACCAGTATATCCAACTATCTTTGAACATTTATGTATGGTTACCTCAGAAGCATTTCAAAAACAACGAGTCTTAAACTGAGTTATCCATTCAACTCATAGAATTGCCATTCAGTAACACATAGAATTTAACTCACAGAATTGCCATTCAATAACTCAAGCCAGGATCATGGGAGCTGGTCTTGGATTCATCCTTCTTCTTCACCCCTACCATTAATCAAGTCCTGTCAATTTGCCTTTTTATATCTTGGTTGCCTATCTTCCTTTACTTCCTCTCCCCCAACCCTGACATGCAAGTTCCCCATTGCTACTCTGGTATAATAAAGTCAGCGGGATCGCTCTGTTGGATGACCACCGCCATTTCCTAATCCCAGTCTCCACCCTTCAAAACTAGGTTAGGTGCCCCTCCTATGCAGTGAATTCCTTGCTATCATA